ATATATATTTCTGGGCGTTTTTTTGGCCTGCCCGGTTTACCCGGGTGGCCCCCCCGGGCCCAACCGGGCGGGCGTCGTCCTCACTCAGAAAAAAACCGTATTAATTCACAAATTTTCAACTGCAAAACTAGGATCAGGCCTTTTAGGAGAAATAAAAAACGACTATTTAGTCCTCGAAAACTGGCTAACGCTACCACCAGTGCAGAAGACGTTTCCACCTCACCCCTCACCATCATTCCATCCCCTATCACAGTCAAACCTGCACATTCATTCCATCACCCTCACTCCACATCATACCGCCTAACCCAGTCCCTCCCCTTCCACAGTCCCTGCTCCATCTCTCACTCAACCTCACTTCCCCAGATAAATAAATAAAAAAGGTACAGACAGCCTTACATGCCCTCCAGCACCCCCCACCCCTCCATCTCCCACCCCACTGAAGAATCATACCACCCCCACCTAGCTGTCCTGCACCTACTATGCTCCCCATCTCTCCTAACACCCTTCCCCCAACACCATACCCCCCACCATAAGTAGATAAGGGATGAGGGTTTAGGGTTTAGCATTTGAAGGATAAGCAACTTGTTAAAATAAGAAGCCTAAAACACAGTCTAAGGCTAAAGAGCACTACAGTGCATAGAAAGGTAAGACCAGGGTCATAGACAAGGGCGCAGATGAAGGCTGAACTAGCTCTACCAGTAATATACACAGATCTGACAGCCATACAACTGAGAGGAAAAGCTAGAATCAGCCCAAATTGATAAGCCTTACAGCAATTACAAGACAGGTACTAAAAACCGAGAGGTCTTTCAAGTCTAAGAGTACGTAAAGTAGGCTAATTTAGGCAGGGGTGAAGGGTGGTACATCATTCCTTGGGAAGTAATCAATGCCGTCTTTTGGGCCTTCCTACCGGAAGGGGGAGGAGCGTGTGTGAGTACCCATTGTAATCATTTCTGACTTGCCGGTGGAACAGGAACCGGACTTATGCTCCCCAGAGTGGAAAAGGAGGTCGGGATCTGATGCTTGTGATCCTAGCTTCGTAACCGAATTTCACGTTGTACTCAGCTATGCTCAGTGTCTTGCTCGCCCGGTCCTTCTTTCAGACCCATTCCTTAGGGTCGATATCTAGGTCCTGGATGCCTAGTTCTGGTAGGAAGATAAAATGGTCCAAATTTTTAAAAGAAAGAAAAGGGAAAAAAAAAAGAACTTTGTCAGAACTGTATCGGAACGCTGACAGGACTCTGTTGAGACCATCTTTTAGAACTCTGTCAAAACTCTGTTACCAATCTGTCAGAACTCTGTCAGAAATATCTCAGAACTCTTTTTGAACTCTGTCACAGCTCTCTATCAGTAAGTCGGAACTGTTTGTAGGAGTCTGTGGAGAGTCGATAGGGAGAATCCGGCAGGACTTTATG